TAATTGGATCCATAGCTTTCTTATCGAGGGTCGTGAGCCGCAGCTTTGATACCAACTTTCACGGGGTGCCTTTCTTCTTGGCACAGAAAGGCACACTGTGTGGCACTAGTCTGTTCCGTTAGACTACCTTCCGCCTTTTCTCGATCGCATCGAGACAAAAGAAAATTTGATTACAATTTTATAGAAAGCTTACAATAGAGAATTTCAATACATTGAAAGTAAATTTAACATTGATTGATGAAAACTGAAGATTACAATTGATGAAAGAAGAAAATTACAATTGCTGGTGCAGGGGGTGGACACCGGTGAATTTGAAAGATTTTTGAATGATTAATACCTTCTATAATAACATTCTGAACAAAAATTTAAGTGACAGGAGTAGACGTTTAAAAAACGAGGAATCATATTAAACGTTTACTAATATCAGAGCTATTTTACAACTGAAATAACTATTACAATGAAAAGAAAATTACAACTCAAGCCTGAAGTAATATTTACAATGTGCAGCCGAAGTTGGACAAACTACGGTTGCGATAGTATCAAGGGGCTAAGTAAAGCTACGGTCCTTGACACTCTGGAAGGGGCAAGGTTTTGCACTTTTCACCAACTTTACGGACACGACACCAGCGAATGTAGAGATGCTCCTCGATCCTCGACCTGGAGTAACCTACGCTCCTCGAAAAGGGGTGAATACACCCACAGGTCCACCTCCCCGAATAGGGGAGAGAGGCGATATAGAGACCAATCACCCCGGAGGAGAGAATCCAGGGACAGAGGAGAATTCAAGCATAGGGATTAGGCCCCATCTGGAGGCCAAGTTATCAGGAAAATTGATACAATTGTTGGAGGACCTCACATCAGTGGCAATACCAAGAATGTCCAGAGGAACTACACAAGGGAAGCAAAGGATCCACCAATGATTACTTTCATTGTCAATAAAACCCAAGAGATCAACAGGATGACTCCAATCACTTTCTCTCAAGAAGATGCACAAGGAGTTCACCACCCCCATCGTGATGCGTTAGTGGTAAGAGCCGTAGTTGCTCGAAACGGACTTAAACGCATGCTCGTCGACAATGGCAGCTCGGTGAACATATTATTCGGATCCACCTTTGATAAAATGCAGATTCAACACGAGTTGATCCTTATGACTGACCGGCTATTTGGATTTACTTGCGACATCATTGTCCTATGAAGGCGAATTACTCTACTTGTCGAGATGGGGTCAGTCCCCTTAGTGGCCCACGACTTCATGGAGTTCCTGCCCACGACTTCATGGAGTTCCTGGTGGTGGACCACAGATCAGCTTACTATGGAGTATTGGACCGACCCGCCTTGAAAGATCTTTGGGGAGTTACATCCATCCATTGTGTATGAAGTTCCCAACTGAATATGGGATTGCCACAGTTCGAGGCGACCAAATGGGCTCAAGGGCATGTTACCTCAACTTTCTAAAAAAATTTCAAGCCCCGTACTGTTAATGTCATTATAACAGAGGCCAACAATGAAGCCGACATGGACATAGAGATGCTTAACACCCCTGAACAAGGGCACACCTCCGAATAGGAGGAAGACGTCGACATGGTAGAGGCCCCTGAAGAAGGGCTCCCTCTTGATGAGTTGGACGGGTCCGAACCAAATGCGACTCCAATGGAAGAACTAGAAACTTTCCCATCAACCCTGAAAACCCCACTCAGGTCTTGCGGATTGGGAAAGCACTATCCTCGAAGTGAAAGAAGAAGTGATGAACTTCCTGAAAAAGAACCTGGATGTTTTTGCCTGGAAGCATGAAGACATGGTGGGAATAGACCTAAAGATCAGTTGCCACCACTTTAACATCAACTCTTCCTGTGCCCTACATCGGCAGAATAGACGAGCCCTCAATTCATAGCGATATGAGGCATTCAAAGAAGAAGTCAACAAACTCAGTCGCAGCGGCTTCATCGGAGGAGCTATATATCCGAAGTGGATATCCAACCTGATCCTCATAAAGAAACCTAGCGGGAAATGGAGGGTGTGTGTAGACTTCACGAATTTGAACAAGGCATGTCCCAAGGACAGCTTTCCTCTCCTAAGGATAGACTAACTGGTGGACTCCATTGCTGGATATGAGCTCTTGAGTTTTATGGATGTATACTCAGGGTACAATCAGATACCCATGTTTCGACCTGATGAGGAATCAACATCGTTCATCACAGATAGGGGATTGTATTGCTATAAGGTGATGCCATTCGAATTGAAAAATGCCGGAGCCACTTGTCAGAGGTTGGTTAACATGATGTTTGTCGAGCTCATTGGCAAAACTATGAAAGTCTTCATGGACGACGTGCTAGTTAAAAGCCTCTAGGCGAAAGATCATGTAAGTCACCTCGAACAACCTTTTAGATTCTTAGGAAGTACAACATGAAATTGAACCCCCTCAAGTGCACCTTTGGAGTTGCTTCGGGTCAGTTTCTAGGATAAATTGTGAACCAGAGAGGAATCGAGGCGAATCCGAAAAAGATAAGGGCCCTACTAGAAATGAGGTCACCTCAGAAGCCAAAGGAGGTACAAAGTCTCAATGGTCGAATAGCCACGCTCAGCCGCTTCATTTCTAGGGCCATTGACAAGAGCCTACCCTTCTTTAAAGTCTTGAAGCAAGGGAAGAAATTCCAATGGACGAGCGAATGCGAGGAGCCTTCCAAGCACTGAAGAAGCACCTGGGAAAGGCATCCCTACTATCCAAGCCGCAACCACGAGAGCCACTGCTGCTGTACTTGGCGATCTTAGACGAGGCCATCAGTTCAGTCCTTATCAGAGAGGAAAACGCGCATCCTCCCCGCAGAGGCGTGCTACCCAGATATGGAGACACTTGCACTCTCCCTAGTTACAACGTCGAGGGAATTGAGGCCGTACTTTCAGGCCCATTCAATTGAGGTTCTCATCAACTTTCCCTAGAAACAAGTATTGCAGAGAACGGACACTTCGAGACGTTTGCTAAAATGGGCAATCGAACTTATTGAGTTTGACCTACTATTCCGACCCTGAAACGCCATCAAAGGCCAAGTCCTTGTAGATTTTGTGGTTGAATTTGTCAAAGCCCTAGAAATAGAGGTGACAATGGAACCAGTCGAGCCCCCAAAATGGAACCTATTTGTGTATGGATCGTCAGCAGAGACTAGCTCCGGAGCAGGAGTTGTTTTGGAAAGCCCAGAGGGCCATAAGTTAAATTGCACAGACAGGTTTGGCTTCAAAGCTTTGAACAACGCTGCGGAATAGGAGACCTTCCTAGCAGGCCTTAGACTAGCAAAAGAGATGCAAATGAAAAGACTCGTAGCAAGTAGCGACTCACAGCTTATGATAAGTCAGGTCAACGAAAAGTTTGCAGCCAAAAACTGTGGCATGGTTGCGTATCTGAAATTGGTTATGAACTTAATCCCTCACTTCGAGATATTCGAATTAGTTCAAGTCCCACGCCTCGAAAATACACACGTCGATACCCTATCCAAATTGGCCAGTAGCAGGGATTTGGAGCTGCTAAAAATTGTTCCAATTGAGCGTATACCGAAACCCTCTATCTCTGGAGGTGAAGAGGTACTATGGATTGAAGGCACCCTACTTTGGATGCAACCCATCGTGACCTACCTCAATCACTACCAACATCGAAAAGCGAGGCGAAGAGATTGATGAGGAGGGCTGCTCACTTTGTTCTCTAAGATGGTATGCTCTACAAAAGGAGCTTTGCCTCGTCACTTCTCCGATGCGTGGGAGGGGAAGAAGCCATGTATATACTCAGGGAGATTCATAAGAGAGTCTGTAACCACTCAGAGGAACGGCTCTGACCCACAAAGTACTTTGACAAGGCTACTTCTGGCCGACCCTGAAAAGGGACTCTTGCCAGTTTGTTCAAAGATGTGACAAGTGCTAGCGCTTCTCAAACATTCAAAGGCAACCTTCTCAAAACCTCTCCGTGGTCACCAACACATGGTTGTTTGCCAAGTGGGGCATAGACTTTATCGGCTCGCTCCCAAAAGGAAGAGGAAGCGCCACTTTTGCCATTGTTGCCATTGACTACTTCACCAAGTGGGTTGAAGTTGAAATTCTAGCAAAAATCACTGAAGCAAATACCACAAAGTTCGTCTGGAAAAATATCATTTGTAGGTTAGGCATTCCTCACTCTTTAGTGTCTGACAAGGGAAGGCAGTTCGACAACAAAAAGATGTGAGACTTATGTGAGGAACTCTGCATAAGGAAGGACTTCTCAACACCCCATCACCCCCAAGCAAACAGGCAGGTCGAGGCAGTAAACAAAACTATCAAGCATACCCTAAAAAGGAAGTTTAACGCCTTCAAAGGGGCGTGTGTCGACGAACTCCCCCATGTCCTCTGAGCCATTCGAACAACCAGCCGAATTGCAACAGGTGAGACACCTTTCTCCATGACCCAGGGATTCGAAACTATGAGTCCTGTTGAGGTGGGTGTCCCCTCTCATCGTCGGATACATTTCAATGAGATCGCCAACGATGAAGCTCGGGTGCATGAACTTCACCTCCTTGATGAAATGAGAGATTCCTCACAAATAAAATTGGCAAAGTATCAAAGAAAGATGACTCGTTATTACAACTCTAAGGTCAGAAACCGAACTCTTTGTCTGGGGGGTCTCCTCGTCAGAAGGGTCTTCCAATCATCGAAGCCAATTGGGTCCGGAGTGCTTGGACCGAGCTGGGAAGGTCCTTATCGCATCTGCAAAGAGTCTCAACCCGGCACTTATGAAATAGAAGACATGGCAGGGAAGGTATTGCCTCATCAGTTGAACATTGAACACTTGAGGAATTACTATCAATAATGTTTCCTGATCCGATCTACATTTTGTCCAGTATTGTAACATTCCTATCTTACTAAGTGTTGAACTGCCTTGGTAAAAAGATAATGTAAGTTATAATACCTCAGTTCTCCATTATGTTATATGGGTTAATCGATTGGTGCCTCAGTTCTCTAGTATTTTACGTGGATCATATCTGTCATTGACTAGTTGGTAAGCGATGTTTAAGATTTACATAAGTTCGTAACTCATCCAGATACATAGTTAAGCATAAAAGTAAGCAAAAACACTTGGGAAAAATTTACATTTCATTAATATCCAAAATATTGCAAGTTGGGCCGAAGCCGTTACAATGCAGCCCGAGTCTATTGGCACTATGACCTTATCTCCCACTTCCACCTCCTGGGAAGGCTCCGCAACTTCCTCTGCAGATGCCACGTCTGGGCGACCCTCGGTAGGTCCATCTAACTCCACCTCAAGAGCAGAAATGTCCAGCGTCGGATGAACCTCCTTCAGCCACTCCAGCATGGCCTGGGCATTCCAGGAAGGCCAGTATTTGGCGAAGGTGTCATATAAAGGATGCTTCTCGAAATGATCAATGAAATGCTGCATCGCAGATTCACCGACCACCTTCACCTCAGCCTTTAGCGACTCAATCTCCTCCGCTTGGGCCTCCGCCCTCTGCCTCAGCTCGGCCTTCTCTTTGTTTGAGGCCTCCAGAGCCTTCGTAGCCAAACGGTGATGCTCGCTAGCGTGATCAAGTCGCCTCTTCAAAGCATCCACCTGGCTCTCTGTCTCATAGAGCTCTTTCCTCAGCCTCTCAACATCAGAGTTAGCCCTCCCCAACTGGCTCTCCACCTCTACCCTCTTCTTCTCCGCCTCGACAGTCTTGGCCTTGGCCTCTTGCACTGCCTCCCCATATTGTAAGCTCACTTCCAACCGCTTGGCCAGATCAACATTTTTGGCTCTTAGGTCTTTCACCACGGCCTCAAGTTGGATACTTGTGGTTGGGGCTTTGGCGAGGCACGCGGTACTGGCAGAAGCTAGGTCCTCCTCAGTATGGGAAGTAGTGTGGTCCCTCTAAGTTTCAGTCCAATATCTGTTGTGGGCCACTGCCACGGCTACTGTCTCAGGAGGAAGAGCCTCCAATACCTCCCCCACCAGCTCCTCTTCATTGCGCCCCAAGAAATTCGCCTCCTTTTCAGGGCGTGCCCTCTTCCTCCTCTGCTGTTCAAGTTGCTAGGCCACTGGTGCTGTAGGAATGGGGCCCGGAGTGGTGATAGCTGGTCGAGCCTCTGGCAAAGCAACTGCCTTTTCCCTGATCACCCCCCCGATGGGGATCAAGGTTTGATGCGTGGCAGTCCTTGCCACAGTGGGGCCCTTGGATTGTTTGCCCCTCTTTAACAGGGGTGCTTCGGCCTCTTCTTCCTCCTCCTCGGCCACGGTAGGCTGAAGCTTCTTGCTCGTCGCGACCAGATCCTCCGTCTGCTTCTTATACGTAGAGGATGTTGTTTTCAGCGCCTGAGCTTCAGCCATCATCTTCTAGATGGTCTTGAAGTCGGGCTTCAGGGGCCTCTTCTTGTTTATCCGCAACAAAGAATATAATCAACTAAGTATGAACATTTCAACAATAAACTGTGAGGATGTGACCTCTACACTCACCCTGGGAGGCCATCAAATCGTGCTCCACGAAATGGAGATTATTCCTTATCAGCTCGTGGTAAGACCTCCTCTTTGGGAGAAGCTGATAGACAATGCAGATGGTGTCAAAATTTTCTGTAGATAACTCACACCGAGGAAGTGTACCTGCATGAAATACACAGTTAAATTCGAAACTCAAAGTGGCAGGTATACAAGTAAATCTGAAGTTTCAGTACTTACTAAGAGTCGAGTATTTTGTTGGTGCTGTCAGGGGCGCCAGGGGGTCCCCCTCCATCGTATCCTACCTCCCTAAAGCCTAGCACCACGAACTCTTCCAATCTTTTATGGAGCTTGGCAGGTCGAGAACGAATGGAGTATGGGCCCCCCAGGAGGTCAAGTAATACCATCCCTTCGTTTTGTCCCCCCTCCCCCCTGCTGAGACCTTAGGTGTATACAGGGTCTAGAAGACGAACAAGGGCATCTCCTCCTTGTAAGAGGCCTCTTTTCACAATATCCATGAACCCACCATTTGGCTCCAGGAGTTCGAATTTAACTGGGTAGGGGCTAAGCCATAAGACCTCAACACGTACTTAAAGAAGGGGTGGATTGGTAGTCTGAGCCTTGTCCTAAGTATGGCTTCGCTAACCGCCACACACCTTGGCCTGTGGTAGCAAGCTCGCTCAACTGGCCCCGGTAATATAAGACCTACACTATCCGGAATCCTATTCTTAGACCTAAGTCTAGCCAGGTTGGCCGACTTCAATTTGGAAGGATAGTTGCACGCCCCCAATGAACCGAAGTATCTACCGGGCTATCTAGCCGTCTCCAGATGTTCTCCCCCCTATAATCGCCTCAGAAATTTCAGCCGAAGTGGCCAAAACGGGATCATCTACCCTGACAATCTCAAGGTCCCTACCAGAACGTCCCCTGCCCTCACAGGTCATATTTTTTCAGAAAAAGTTACGAAAACTCAGAAATACTTATAAGACTTGACCAGAATGGATGTCCTAATGTCGGGAAACGAAAATGTCGCGGAGAAACGCTTGAAACTCGCCGAAAATGGCCAACCATTCGGAAAACAAAGGGAATTCTGAGTTCGCAAAGGTAAAATGTTGAAGTGATAATAAGTTTCTCTTTTATAGGAGACCTCAGATAATCCCTGCCGTTGAATTCAAACGGATGTCAATCTGGACCGTTGATCTCATCATAAGTCTGGATCGTTGAAATGAAATGCTAGATTTGATCAACGCCCAAGATTTGATTATGCCCCTCACGCACGCATAAAACACGTCGCCTCGAACAAACAACAGCCATTAACAATAAGTAGCCGCAGCAGCCCTTTTTTTTAGGGACAGACATCACATCCAATTGTCGTCTTGAAAATACGCAACAGCTGTCACATCGATTAGCGTCATAACGACACTTCAGATCGAAGATAATCTATCCCAATTCGCCTCAAATGAATGCACTCTTCAACTTTACAAGCTTCGGTGCAACTGACGCGGAGTCCCCTGTGGGTCACCGCCTCGATCGCACGTTTCCACAGCTTCACAAGCCTTTAGCCATCTCCTAACGCGTCGTCCCTTGTGGGTCAGCGCACGATTGGCAGATGAGCTCTTCACCCAGATTTACAAGCCTCGGCGCAACTGATACGGAATCCCTTATGGGTCATCGCCTCAGTCGCACGTTTTCTCAGCTTCACAAGGCTTCCCCCAACGCGTCATCCCCTATGGATCAGCACTCTGGTGGCAGATGAGCTCCTCACCCACTCCTAAAGTTTCGACACCACTGACGCGGAGTTCCTTGTGGGTCACCGCCCCGATCGCACGGTTCAGCTTTACAATGCATTAGCCATCTTTCGACACGTCGACCCCTATGGGCCAGCGCACCGGTGGCAGATGAGCTCTTCACCCAGTTTTACAAGTTTCGGTGCAACTGATTGACGCCCTATCCACATCACCTCTGCCATCACTCCGTCTCAGTCAAGAGCTATCAGGCACATCTTCGTACTTCATCTTTTCACATCAGCACTTCATCAGAATCCGCAAAACTTAAGGTCGACATACACATTCGGGAAAACAAGTCTACCCATGATATGAATATTCATGCCTAAATTTGGGAGGACCATTGTTACGCCCCTAACTAAACCACTTCGGCAAAACAGTCACAACACTCTTAGAAGTGACACGTGTACATCTGAAGTGTTTCCGAAGTGATACCAATTCCTGACGACCTCAACATGGCGCGCTGCAAGGTGAAGAGAAGATCCAATGAAGCAACCGAGGTGCCCCTAATGCCGAATCATTTAAGGATCCGAGGCACTCTCTTAACAAATCCCTTCGCGCTACTGTCAGAAAGATCTGTCAGGATCTTGATGTGACGTCTCCATGGGTCTAGTTGATATGACATATCGACTTTATGTCAACTCAACTCAGAAGAACTAATTGCTCGCCCACACTAGACGCGGTTGATTGACGCTTATGAGTAGACGACTCACACCATCAGATGCATACACGTATCCCACATCCAACGGTGCTCTACATCTATAAATACCCAAGGTTTAGCAAGAGACAGATGTAATAAACTCTTATAACTTAGTTCTCCATACCAAGTAATATATATTCTCCTCCCCACTCTCTTGTATAACTTGAGCGCTGTTCCGATCACCCAACGCTGACTTGACCGTTGGAGTGTATGCGACCGTCGCCACCACCGCTGGTTCTGGCCGTGTGCTTCTGACCGTGCGTTGTTATGCACAGGAAGGATCATGTGGAGTAGCTTGGCCACGTGGAAGGTCCAATTCTCGAGGTCAACACCTTATATGACAAAGGATTGTCTATAAACAAACCCATTCTCCACAAAACTTCCAAGAACATACTCCTTTTGTGGCCAAAAAAATGGAATCCCACGCTGAAGGTGAATTCTATAAAAAAAAATTTCCCAATATTCGTAGTTCCCACATTTTCCAAACTTTTTGCATTTGCCTCCACCTTCAAGCATCTTCTTGTCGTAAAAAGTGCCTTTTTTTCCCTTTTTTTTTTTTTTTTTCTTTGTAGTGATTCTATGGCCACTGTCGGAAGTGCAGGAAAAAAATGATCCTTTGAACTCGATTTGTAGACCACTTATTCTATCGTTCGAAATTGCATACATGATCTTGGCATTTGCAGGTTGGAATTTTGCATCACTGCCATAATTGTTTGATGCTAATATTTTGTAGTAATTAAGAAATGGACAATTTGTTTGTTTGAGTACGAGGTTCAAAAGAAGTGAAATGTTGGTCCTATGTTTGATGATTAACCATCTTACCTAAAAGTTTGAGAACCACCTCTTTGGGTGGAGGAGAACATGGATACTTCTCTGTTGTTGACTCATACGGAAGAGTATACAAATTTGCATGGCCAAATTTGATGCCCCAAATTTGTGATTTTATGGATTATGGACTTTGAACATGTGAAAGTAATATTTTGTACACAATCTAAAGATGCGAGTAACTAGACGAGTTGAGTTGAGTTGAGATTTACTGTTTCAAATTTACTGTTCGTACTATACATTTTCGACACTTTAACACACCTTTCTATGCGAGTTGAACGATGCCAACACATCAGCATGCTAGACATTTGCATCTTTTCATTTATTAACCAATAATGATATATCAAAATGTCAAAATATATTAAAAATAACAAGTTCGAGGCAATAAATTTAGAGTCTGTTTGGGACTAAATTTGAAAATTGATTTTTGACCGATAGGAGAAAAGTGGGGATCCACTTGTGAGAGAAAAAGTCAAATATGACGGCTGTAATAGTGAAATAACGATCAAAAAATTAATTTTTTTTGGTAAGAATAATCACTCCCAAATAGGCTCTTAAACTCTCCCGTCGAACCGCCCTCATTTGTTACACACCAACCTACAAATCATGAATATGTGCAATGGTGACAAAAGAAGAACGTGACAATTCCCTTTGATCCCAAAACGTGCCAAGTTACTACGATGCAATGGTGCCACCAAAATACTCCCCAAACTCTATCCATTAGCATGCATATACATATACAAGTATCTCATTCATCAAAATTCGTTTCTCTCGAAAGGAAATAGGTAGCTAGCTAACCATGGATCTAATTCACCAATTTCTCAACTTAGTCGCTCCTCCATTCACCTTCTTTACCCTTTTGTTTTTCTTGCTACCTTTCCAAATTTTCAAGTTCTTCCTCTCATTTGTGGGCTCTATTTTCACAGAAGATGTCGCCGGCAAAGTTGTCCTCGTCACCGGCGCCTCCTCTGGCATTGGCAAGGTGACGGATTAAAGCTTTATTTTTCTTCACTATACTTTCCTGAGGGGGAATTGCATGTTTGTAATGACTAAGCTAAAATTACAAATTGGGATGGACTAAAATATTTTTATAGTTGGCTAATTTAGTTTTTGAAAAAATAGGGAAATTAAAAAAATTACTAATTAGGTTTTAAACTGAAAAATGCGATTTTTTAACATTTTATTAGAAAATACCCTGCTGTAATTTTCAGGTAGTTACAATCATTGGAACTTTTCAGAAACGTATAATAATCGTTGAGAAGTTATAATTATTGTAAATTTTAAATTTACTAAAAAAGATTAAAACACTGAAGCTATTTTAAAAAAAATTAAAAAAAAAAAAAAAAAACATGGATTTTCCAAGTTTTCGTCTCTTAAACCATGTCTGGCCTAATTTCCCGAAAGGGCGAAAATTTCCATGGAACACATTTTTATTTTTATTTTTTTTCTTTTTAATATCTTGGGACTTGGTAGCCCAGTGCAACCCCTGGATCCACGCTTCTTATAAGCATCTAAAGATTGAAAATTTATATAATATTCAGTAGTCTCAAGTTTCACTTCTAATTTTTGGACTCCAAGGCCTTAGC